TCACTCCGGTCATCTCCCCCATTGCCGGCGACCGGAAAACTCGCCGGAAGGTCGCCGGAAATTGCAGAAAAGCCCCGGAAAAATCTAGAAAATTCTAGAAAAATCCCTAAAGCTTTATTTAATTATTTTCGGCCATTATTAATTTCATAGGATATTAAATAAATATATACCATCCTATATAATTAAAATTTCATTAATTTAATAAGATAAAATTTATAATTTAATAATCTACTAACCTTGGCTCTATGCTTACAAATAAACTAAACAATTAATTTATTAATTCAAAGGGGAAAAGTAGATAATAACTTGCCTTATGGATTTAAAATAAATCCGCCGGTTGCGCGTAGTCGGGTAAAATCGCCTACACCGGTCCAAACTTCTTTCTCTCTCTCTTTTCCTTTCACTCCTATAAAATAGCTCTCTGTAATTTTTAAGCTTTCTAACTTAAGTAAGTTGCCTTAAGGGTAAGTTGGCTAACTAATATATATATACAAACTTATATAATATATATAATACAAATATCTAATTTATATTAACTTCTCACCCATTCCTCACATCTCTACCTATAACATTTAAGCCAAGCAAGCCAAGTCAAGCAAAATGTCCTAAGGTTCAACTATGGGAATGAAATCCTATCCTAAGATTTAATTTTTCATCATTACATTGATTTAATATTATTATTATTATTATTATTATAATAATTATTATTATTTTTATTATTATTATTATTATATAATACAAATTAAATACTTTAATTTAAATAATATTAATTAATTTAAAACATAACCAATAAAATGTCTAAACTAATCATTATACTATATAGAACAAAAAAAATCAATATTACATGCACAAATAAATAAAATTAATTAAATAATTAAATATATATAATTAAAAGTTGAATAAATCTACACATTTAAAGAATTAACCTAACACAAAATTAATTTAAATAAACTCTTTAAAATTACGGGGTATTACAGTACATCATTCTTTGTTGCAACACAGAAGGATTACTATGGTGTCTAGATGCTATTTGTGCTACAGAAACGTGGAGTCTCTGGATCATATTTTTTGTAGTTGTGACTATACTTGGCAAGTATGGATGCAGTTTTTTGATATGTGTGGGTGGAGTTTACAAAAGGTGTATGAGGTCCAACAATTGGCTGTGCATTTTACACAAAGATTTCAAGGGAAGAGCAATAAGTTAGCTAAAGTTTTATTCACTGTTGTTTTATATTTTCTTTGGAGAGAACATAATGAGAGGTTGCACAATGATATGTGCCGCGATCCTGGGGAACTAGTTAAGTGTATTTTGTGGGAGGTTACAGATATACTGGGGATCCAGCTTCAGGACATCATGTAGTCTTATTTTTATAGTGTGTTTTTTTTTTTATTTTCTGTAGGCCTTTTCTTTCGAAACTCTTTGATGTGTAAGTGGAGGTATGCCTCCTCTTTGACCTATGTACAATATTGTTGATATTTATATACTCCTTCATTTAGGAAAAAAAAAATGTATATACATAGAATTCTCTATATGTATATACATAGAGTGAGAGGAGAGAGAGATGGACACAAATTTGGATTGGTCGAGGAATATATTTTAGTCGAGAGCATGCTTTGGTTTAGAGAGAGTGGGGAGAGAAAATAACAAGAAAGAGAGGGATGGATGCTTTAGCCTGGAGAGAGAGATAGAGAGTAACGAGGAGAGAGGGGGATTGTTTAGGGAGTATTATTCGTTGCTGTTGGTAACACTGTGAAAGAGAGTTAATTGTGGATACTATTCCCGGTTAGTCAGGAATACTGAAAAAGAACAATAGAGTTAATAGTCCACAAAAGCTGACTTAAAAAATATCACAAAAATTGAATTAGAAAATGATTTAGAAAAAAAAAAAAAAAATTTACATGAAAATATTTCGTTTAAAAAATATTTGACAAGAAAAATACATTTCATGTTTGTTTAAGCTTTAAAAACAAACATTTTCTTGTTAGCAAACCGATTGTTTTTAGTTAAAATGGAAAAGGGTAAGCAAAAGAAAAACCATTTCATAATTAGAAGCTTCTCTTCTATAGTCAGTTTTTTTTTTTTTTTTTTTAATAAAATATTCCTATATTATTAGCAATTACGACCTATTCCTTCCGCGAGCTACAATTTATCTACTTGTACTAAAAAAAACTACATATCAAAACATTTTCCAAGCGTGCTTAAGATAAATACTCGTATAATTCTATGCATAAGCATGTCACAAGATACGAAATGCAAGTTAATAAAACTATACTCACCTCATCATTAATTCGAACATATTTCAATTTGCTTTAATTTAGTTTGAATTTCATATCTGGTGCTTCCGTTGGTACAAAGATGTCTTCTTAGCCAAGGTTCTACAGCTTCGTGATGCCGATCATGAACACTGGAAAGCAAAATTTGTAGATGGTCTTCCTACCTTTTTTGCTGAAAGAATCAGAAAGAAGCTTCGGGATATGAACAATGGAATTTCTATCCCTTACAGGAACTATACTTATGGTGGATTAGTCAACATCGTAATCCAAGAAGGTTTAGCTCTTTGTAATGATCTGAAGTTACAGTCTCAGTTAAAACAACAGAGACTAACGGGAAAAAAGGAAGTAGGTGAATTTTATGATCAATTTGCCTATCAGACACCTTTATCTTATCCTAAAATTAGGAAAAGAAATAAGGTTGACAAACCTTATAAAAAGAAATATTCCCTAAAGAAATATTAACAAAAGGTTGATACTTCAAAACAGTACACTAAGCCCAAAAGGAAAACCTATCCAAAAGCAAAGGGTAAAGGAAAACCCAAAACAGAGGCTAAGTGTTTCAAATGTGGACGGATAGGCCACTATGCCAATAAATGCAGAACTAAGGAGAAACTTAACAATCTTCCCATTAGTGAAGAGTTAAAACTCCAATTAAGCAAATTATTGCTTAATATTAGTTCTTCCGAAAATGGATCTTTTAAGTCTGAAGAACTCATGGAATTACAATCTTCGTCTTCCTCTGAAGAAGAAAATAGTAATCCAAAATGTTTTTGTCACCAGAAGAATGACTATTACAAGGCTATAGTTGAAATGAATGGGCTAAGTTTAAATGTCTTAACTGCTCATCAACAATCCTTGTTAGATCTTATAGATCAAGTTCAAGATCCTCAGATAAAAATGAAGATCTTTGAAATAGGTTATGCTATTGCACAACCTCAAGAAGATAATGATAATCCAGACTTTATAAGATCTGTATAAAATAATCATTATAAAATTATGTAATAAACAGTAAGTTACTTTTTATTTATTTTAAATACAATATATTATTTGAAAAATTAACCTCTGAACCTTTCCTAAGAAACTTTAAATTAAAGATTTAAGAATAATTGAAACACATACACATCCACCCTCAAGTAAAGGTAAACAAAAGTATTGCTATATAAAGAATTGTATGCATACTTTTCACTGGGTAGCATTTGTTCTACGTTCCTAGTCTTCATCAGATATTGAATAGTTCAAGAAATCTAGAAATTCAATATATATAGTATATATTTATTATTATTATTATTATTACTTCAATTTGGAAATCGTTTCTATCGAAGAATTGATCATCATCTAAAATATTAATAACATTCCACCATTTCAATAAAAAAAATTCTTGATATCACGAGGAGATAAAAAAACATATCATTATGATACCATGTTACCCACAATGCTTCCAGAAAACAGTAAGGAATTCAATAATTAAATAGTAACTTCATAATATATATGCGAAAGTAGCAGCTCTAGGAAATGAGAAAAGAAAGGTATAGCTTGAGATATGGAGAAGCACGGAAATGCGCTATTCTAATGCTGCTAGCTATTTCTTCCCTACGTGGTGACGGATATAGCAGGTCTTAACAACAACTAAATAATTTGATAGCAGAAATGAGAAAAGAAAGGTATAGCCTGAGATATGGAGAGGCACGCAAATGCGCTATAAACAAAAAAATAATTTACTAGCAGAAATGAGAAAAGAAAGGTATAGCCTGAGATATGGAGAGGCATGCAAATGCGCTATTCTAAAGCTGCTAGCTATTTCCTCCTACGTGTGCAGATGGTGACGGGTATAACAGGTCTTAACAAAAAAAGAATAATTTAATAGCAGAAATGACAAAAGACAAAGGCATAGCCTGAAATATGGAGAGGCACACAAATGCACTATTCTGAAGTTGCTAGCTATTTCCTCCATACTTGTGCAGATGGTGACGGATATAGCAGGTCTTAACAGCAACAAAATAAATTAATAGCAGAAATGAGAAAAGAAAGGTATAGCCTAAGATATGGAGAGGCACGGAAATGCACTATTCTAAAGCTGCTAGCTATATCTTTCCATGGTGACGGATACAGCAGGTCTTAACAACAACAAAATAATTTAATTCCAGAAATGAGAATAGAAAGGTATAGCCTGAGATATGGAGAGGCACGCAAATGCGCTATTCTAAAGCTGCTAGCTATTTCCTCCCTACGTGTGTAGATGGTGACAGATATAACAGGTCTTTTCAGAATGATTTCATGACTTTTGAGTAAAACTTGTGTAATAGTCTCCTCAGCAACAGCATGACTCAAACCTCAGAAAGGATTGAATGTCAGCTAACCTAGGTAGTTTTTCTATCTTACCTAAAAACACTACCAAATAGAAATCTCAAGCAGAAATTATATCAACATTCTGCTACGTCAGCCTTAATTCTACTACCAATTAAGAACAATATAACACATCAAGAAATAAGTTGCTTTAATACTGTAATTGAACATAGCAAACTATAAGCATTGTGTCAATTTTGCAATTATAATGTGTCCACAATCTACTATTATTATTATCATGGTGCAGGCTCACCACCATGATGATGTCTATATACTCCTGCTCTCCGGGGCCTTTATCTGTAAAGGATCCTTACTCCCGCTCTCTGGGGCCTTGATCTGTAAAGGATCCTTATCAAGCACATTATCAATAATAACAACATATCTGACAAAGAAGAAAAAATGGTCAATTATTCCACAATTCAAACAGTAATTATCAATAATAATGATCGGAACAGAGATAATATCATTTTGCAGCATTTTTGCTACTAAAAAACAGCTTCCAACACCAGTATCTCTACCACACAGGGCGAGCTGGCATTCCAAACCCATAAAAGTTTAAATCAAAAGTGAAGGCAACAGCACAATCTGCTCATCGCAGACTAGCCTAGATTATTAAGACTGTAAGACAGTGGGCATATCCTTCTCCACTCATCCTAAAGCGCATACTTTCTCAAACTCTTTTTGCTCTTTGCGGCATAATTCAAACTCATTTGTATGGTAGTACATACAACCAGCATAAGCATCCATTTCTTTCGTGCACTTCTGGCGAAGGTCTTTCAGCCTGCAGTGTCAAATATCATATGATTTAGAAATGCTTCTAGAAACCACATGCGGTTTTTTTTGGGTGGTACAAATAGATTTGACATTTCTTAAAATAAGCATGTGATCAAAGTTTCCAGTATGCAGGCAACCTCTTTGCTCAAATAATACCGGGAATTCACGTAGCACCCCACATCGGTGCCACCAATACAGGGTAATGGCAATTTTGGTTATGAAGTAACAGGAATCTGTACAAGACAAATTGGTACCACAAGCTTTTCACAGCCAGGGAGGATAATAACATTTAAGAGGTTCTACTAAGCTAAAAGGAGATCCAAAGGATGACTAAGATGTTGAACTACCATGTTCTATTATGCAATGCGGTGAAATTAAAGAGGAACATGGTCCGGGAGATTACCAATCAGTATGATGCAAAATCGAATGCCTGAGGAAGAAAAAACTCAATCTGAGAGGCAAGAATTAATGATTCAAACTCGCTGCGATTAGCAACTACCTGATTATACATGGAAAAGATTCAAACTCTATGCAGCCGCAACATTAAATCAGCATCATTAAAAAGCTCTTTAAGTTATACTGAACTGGATCCTTATCTCAGCAGCTCATGAACTTCAACAAGTCAGACGTTTATGACGGAAAGGGTATCCCAACTTATCCTTCTAATTAGCTTTATGGCATTTTAAGTTACAAAAAATTCCAAGTAGTTGCGCAAGTACATAATTCCAGATCATTGTGAACTGGATCAGACAATAGGCCACTGGTAGTATTTTAAGTTTCAATATTCGAAGCTGTCATTATCAATTATTGCCTTTCTATCTGTTTCTCGATTACTAAGGCTTCTCAGTTAAATAAATGGATCCAAATGGAAAGGAATTTGCCAGTATGTCTTTGCTCATGTGTTATGGTAGTGGATGCTTTTTGCTTTGTTCCGTAGGAAGGAAGAGATGAGGAGGGAAGATAGGAAGGAACAAACTTTCTTCGTTCGGTAGGAGGAGACAAGAAGAGAAAAGATAGTAGGAGGGATAAGTCATCCTTCCTCATTTACAAAATTACATCCCTCCAAATATGAACGGAAGAGAGGAGGGAAAACAAATGGGGCTATTATAGGAATTTTAAATTACTACCATCCTAAATTATACAAACACAGTAAATTACTAATCCTAAATTAAAACTCTCTTCTCTTCCATCCAACCAAAAATTGGGAATGACATAATCTCTTCTCTAGGGTTGTCTCTTTCTTTCTTATCGAATGAAGCATACAATTCTATTTGACACTGTAGTGTGGATAGCTGTTGAATTGTATCACCATATTGACGAGTCTACAGATCTAGTCTAAATTCTAAAGGTTTGCCCTCTTATTGTCTGTCTCTATAGATCCTAGGTCTGTAGTGTTTTTGATTTGTTTGCTGAAGTGCTAACTCTTCTCAACATTCAAGTTTTTAAGTGTGTTAATAAAATTAAATTTCTGAAAAAAACACAATAAATTTACCAATTAACAAAATGGACAAGTAAAAAATAAACATAATAAGGTGAACAATCCCATTTTAAAGAAAACAAAACATCAACACAAACTGACTCTACATATTGTCCAATTCGAATGCTGTTAAGACCTAAAAATTCATCATTTTCACACAAAACATGCACAATGTTCAACCCTAATAACTGATTTCAATCCAGTTACTTCCTCAATCATAAGAAACTCAAGACCCTCTTCAATTCAAAAGGAATGTCATAGAAAAACCATCGATTACTAAAACATTCCAGATGAATAATACCTTACCAATAAACTAACCCTTCTAGATTACCAGAAAAGCAAGTGACAACAACTTGATGAGTACATCATATGAATCAGCATTTACACAGATGTATCTGTATGTACATACTATATACTTACAGGCCAAGGACGCAGCGAGTGACTTGTTGGCCTTTGTCCAGACATTTCTCAGGGTTAGAATCATCCTTCTTGCATTTGAGGAACGCAACGTTTTCGCTCTTGCATTTCGTCGCTATGTGCTTTGACGACGCCATCAACACCGACGAAGTTGGAATCGCATCTCCCGCCACATCCACAGTGCTCGCCATCTCCAAAATCTGATGAATTCAATAGCTCCTGATTAATCAAAACCATTAAAAGAGGGAATTTTTCAGTGAGCAATTGAAGTCATTCGTTTACTGATCGAATAGAAGAAAGAAACGGAACACTTTAAATTGGAGGAATTGGAGTTGTCTGATTTATTTTCCCAACATTTCTCAGCAACCAAACATAAATTAATTGAAGCCATTTGTTGACTGATTGAATAAAAGAAAGAAATCAAGATTTACAACTCTTCAAATTGGAGGAATACAAGTATACAGATTTATTTCCCCACCATTTCTCAGCAACCAAACAGAAAATAACAAGTGGTTTTATCATCTCGGTACCTTTTCCTCTCAGCTCTGCTTCGATTTTTCCTCCCAACTAACGAGTATAGGGCTTACAAGAGCAGAGGGATGAGATGAGAGAAACGGTCGCTGCTAACGTGCACCGAGCGAACAAAGTACGCTTATGGGAATAACTTCAAATTGTGCAGGGCAATTATGTCTTTTCAGTGATGAACAGATCCAACAATCCTTTTAAGGGAGTAAGTGCGGAAAACACCTGGGGTATATTTTTAGTAACACTTTTATCCCCTATTAGAAAAAGTGTGCAATAAATACCCCTTATCTTTTGAAATTGTGCAAAATTACCCTTCTGTGCAATAATCACCCATAAATTATTGTTGTAATACTCATTTTGCCCTTTTAGTCTTCCAAAAATACCCATCCTTCTCTCTCTACTATCTGCCACCAGTTCCTCCTCCCACCACCATCTTCTTCTTCTTCTTCAACCACCGCCTGATTGATGGCTTGTGGGTTGTGGATTGGAGGTCGCAGTGGCCGGATCTCGATGCCAAGATTGCGAACCCAGGTTTAATGGGTCTGTGAAAGGGAATCAGGATCCACTCTCTTCCCCTTCTACAATGGGTCTGTGAACTCAAAATTGTCTCAAACCCAGAACTCAAACAACAAGCAATATGCACAACCTTTCTCCTTAGCCACCAACGTACAATTTTCTGTTTGAAACTTTAGAATTGCAATAAACTTGCAATTATGAATTAAAGCTTGAGAAACTGTGATTGTTTCCATCACTTTGTTTTTTTGTTGGTTTCCTTACTTTGTTTCCATCATCATCATCACACACACACACACACACATATTCTTCAAATCCATTACATCAACATAGTGAGGAAACCACCCAAAAAAAAAAAAAAAAAAAAAAGGTTTCTGCCTTGCAACTGTGCTCATATTGAACAGAAATTCAAATGACAACAACTCATATTGAACTGAAATTCAAATCCATAAAACATGAATAATAATAATAATCATTTATTGTAGCAATTTAAAAACATTATTAACATTCAAGAACAACGAAATTCTTACATTGGAAAGTCCAAACTCTAGCTCTCCCTACAAATCATTAAAATATTGAAATCAGATCCAGAGTTTAGTGAAAATTATTCTCAATTAGTTCAGCAATCGAGTCTCACTCTTATCATGAAACAAAAAAATTCACTAGATAATGAGAGATTCAGAGATCGTAATCAACAAGGTACCAAATAAAAAAATAAAATAAAAAATCAAGAAAATCGAACACTTGAACCAATTACGGATGATTTGATAAAATAATGTTGTGAATGGGGGTTGGAAAATACCCATCCTTCTCTCTCTACTCTCACCATCGTCCGTCCTCTTTGCCGTCGCTCCATCAAACCCCAGTTCGTCGTCGCCTCCATCATCAAAGCCGAGCCCGCCATCGCTCACAGCCGAGAAGTTCTTTGCCCGCCGGTGCCTTTCGAATATACCCCACCTTCTCTCTCTACTCTCTGTAAAACTCAATCTAAGCTCTCCACAGCCCGTCTTCCATCACCGCCGCTGCATTGTCGAGCCCTCTCTTGCTCGCCGGCCGCCAATTCCACCAGTTGAGCTCTCCACAGCCGAGCCCGTCTTCACAATCAAAACCCCATGAATATTTTTTTGAGGAGAGCTCAACCGCAGCGAACCCAATTGCAAAACCCAGACGAGTTCGATTCCAAATTGCAACTTGCAAGTCCCCTGTTCCAAATTACAAATTGCAACTTGCAAGTCCCCTGTTCGATTCCACCGGCCGAGCCATAACCCAAACGAGTCACTGTTTGTTGTCCTTTTTAGTCTTTTTACAAAATTTTGTATTTTTATATATTTTATAAAATTGTTGACTAAGGGTATTTTAGTCAAGTTTGGTTTTAAATGTACCAGAGGGACTTGATTGCACAAAATTGAAATTTGAGGGGTGTTTTTTGCACGAGAAGGGTGATATGCACTACAAGCATAGTTAAGGGGTGTTTTTTGCACTTGACCCTTCTTTTAAGCCCTCTGGATGCCCACTTTCTACCAGCCAGGGTTTTGGATTTAGTAAACTCTGAAGATTTGGACAGTAAGTCTCTAATTATTGCTCATTTCATACAATTTTCTTTCAGTTTTTATACATTTCTGTTTATATATGTATATATACATGATGAGCGCTGAAAAGTGCGTATTTAAATCTCTTAAGCTTAAGCATTCTAGTACATTTATCTATCTTACTTCACCGTTTTAGATTGATTTCGTAATATTTCCATTTCTAGGCACTTATCCTGAAAATAAGCTAACTCAGCCAAATAAGAGCTTAATTGAAGCAATTATGGGATTAAACAAAGAAAGGAGCAAAGTGAAGAAAGAAAGAAGCAAATGAAGCCAAAGATGGGAAGCAGCAAAGTTAGATCGATCCAACTTCAAGGTTCGATCGATCAAATATTGATCGATCTCAATACTTCAAGATAGATCCAAACCTTGACCCAAAGCAAAAAGTTAAAAGTTCGATCGATCCAACACCACCCTTTGATCGATCGAACACTTTTGTCCTTATTCAAATGATTGATCTTATCCACCATGTAGCACCCTACCAACCACTTTTGTCCTTTTCCCAAAAATATCTCCCCAAAATATCTCGGATTTGTTTTTTCCCAAAAAGCTCATCCAGTTGGATCGATCTAGCCTCAGTTCGATAGATCTCAGCTAAGTTCGATCGATCCAAGTCCAAGGTTCGATCGATCGAACTTTCTCTAGTGCAAAAAAGTTAAAAAGCCATCTTGTTCAATCCGTCTTCTATCCAATCATTAGAGAATATTCTTTGCACGACCCTAGCTCATTTTGTGTGTCATTTGACCTACCTATAAAAGGAATATGATGCACTTTTTGAAAGGGGGACTTAGCATTTGGTAGATACAACTTTGAAGGCTATTCTTAGGGTAGAAGAAAAAAAGAGGAGGCTAGAGACACAAAAGGGGGGAGTTCTTCATCAACAAGGACCAGATTTCTTCTATGGAGTTAGCCCTTGAAGGTTGGAGCAACATCACCATGAGTGGTTAGACATCCTCTTGGGGCTAGAGTTAGCCCCAAGCATGCTTTCTATATCTTAATCTTGTGTATTATTGAGGGATTAGTGTTGTAATTAATGTTTTGACAATTTGATATATATAGATCTTGATTATTCAATGATTTATATGATTAAATGCTTTCAATTGATCATTTCATTCTATCCATATGTCTATGTATGCTAGAATAGATGTTCATGTGTTTCTCTATTTCTTGTGTTATTGATGCATGTCTATGTGTATTAATCCTATAGATCTAGAGATTGTCAAAACATTGTGCTTAAAAGAATGCTCTTGTGATTTTCTAGATGGTCCATACTCATTTCTTGATGGATTGTGATGAGCGCTGAAAAGTGCGTATTTAAACCCTTTAAGCTTAGGCATTCTAGCACCTTTATCTATCTTACTTTACCATTTTAGATTGATTTCGTATTATTTCCATTTCCAGGCACTTATCCCGAAAATAAGCTAACTCAGCCAAATAAGAGCTTAATTGAAGCAATTATGAGATTAAACAAAAAAAGGAGCAAAGTGGAGAAAGAAAGAAGCAAATGAAGCCAAAGGTGGGAAGCAACAAAGTTTAATCGATCCAACTTCAAGGTTCGATCGATTGAACAATGATCAATCTCAGCACTTCAAGATAGATCCAAGCCTTGGCCCAAAAGCATAAAGTCCAAAAGTCCAAAAGTTCAATCGATCCAACACCACCCTTCGATCGATCGAACACTTTTGTCCTTATTCAAATGATGGATCATATCCACAGCTATACCACCCACTAACCACTTTTGTCCTTTTCCCAAAAATATCTCCCAAAATATCTCAGATTTGTCTTTTCCCAAAAAGCTCAACCAGTTGGATCAATCTAGCCAAAGTTTGATGGATCTCAGCCAGTTCGATCGATCCAAGTCCAAGGTTCGATTGATCGAACTTCCTCCAATACGAAAAAGTAAAATTTCCAGCTTGTGCAATCCATCCTCTATCCAATCATTAGAGAATATTCTTTGCACGACCCCAGCTCATTTTACGTTCCACTTGACCTACCTACGAAAGGAATATGATGCACTTTTTGAGACATAGACTATTCTAGGGTTTAATCTCTTGGAGAACAAGCTTAGAGGAGGAGGAGACTAGAGACACCATTAGAGTTATTCATCAACAAGGAGCAGATTTCTTCCATGGAGTTAGCCCTTGAGGGTTGGAGCAACATCACCATGAGTGGCTAGACATCCTCTTGGGGCTAGAGTTAGCCTCAGACATACTTTCTATATCTTAATCTTGTGTATTATTGAGGGATTAGTGTTGTAATTGATGTTTTGACACTTTGATATATATAGATCTTGTTTATTCAATGATTTATGTGGTTTAATGCTTCCAATTGATCATTTCATTTTATCCATATATCTATGTATGCTAGAGTAGATGTTCATGTGCATGTCTCTAGATTTTGTGTTATTGATGCATGTCTATGTGTATTGATGTTATAGATTTGGAGATTGTCAAAACATAGTGCTTAAAGGAATGATCTTGTGATTCTCTTGATGGTTCATACTTATTCTTTGATGGATTATGCCTCTCCCCAGTTTATTCATGCTAGTAGTGTAGATGTAGTGTAATTGTAGTGTAGTGTTAAATGGGAGGACAATCTATGCTTGTTGTTTGATGATCCAAGCTTTTGAATACAATAAACATATGTCTCTATCTTTGTGTTTTATTTGGATTGTGAGCTTAATGAAAAGATTAATGACTTGTTTTGATCTATTGTGCCTTTCACATGTTGTTTAGACAATATATGCTTCATTGCTTAGATATATTGTGCCTTTCACATGATGTTTAGATAATACATCCTTAACTAGTCATCCTTACTTGTTGAATCAACCAAACACATACACACATACCAATATTGTAACACACCATTTGCCCTCATTAGTCACTTGTCAATGGTATAGAAATGCATTGCTTGGTGGTGATCTCTAAACCCTAAGATCTCTCTCTCTCTTGCTTACTCTTAATTGCATTCTTTTGTTACCACTTAGTTTAATTTAGTTGCTCTCTAATCAACCAACCAACCAATTTTTTGATCACTCGACCTACTAACCCTAA